AGATTCAGAAAGATATAGTCATTATCAAAAACAGTATGGAGTTTCCTCAAAAAAATTAAAATAAAACTACCACATGATCCAGCAACCCCACTACTAGGTATATATCCAACAGATATGAAATTAGTATGTGGAAGACATATCTGCACTCCCATGTTTATTACAGCACTATTCACAATAGCCAAGATATGGATGCAACCTAAGAGCCCATGAATGGATGGATGGATAAAGAAAATGAGGTCTATGTACACACTGGAATACTATTCACCCATAAAAAAGAATGAAATGCTGTCACTGGCGACAAATTGGGTAACTTGAAGGAGATTGTGTTAAGTGAATAAGCCAGGCACAGAAAAACAAACACCACATGATTTCACTTGGATGCAGAATCTCAAAAAGTTGATCCCATAGAAGTAGAAAGTAGAAGGGTGATTACCAGAGGCTGAGGTGGTTAGGGGCAGGATGAGCAGATGTTGGTCAAACATTAAAAAATTATGGTCAGATAGGAAGAATAAGTTTCAAGAGATCTACTGTATAACGCACTGACTATAGTTAATGATATATTGCATTCCCAAAAAATGTTAAAAGAGTGGATATTATGTGATCTTGCCACTAAAAAATGATGACTATGTCAGGTAATGCATATGTTAATTAGCAAGATTTAACTATCCCACAATGTATATATACTTCAAAACTTATGTAGTACATGATAAAAAACATTGTGTTATCTGTCAACTTGATACTTTTTTTTAAATTAAAAAAAACAGTTTAGGAAGAAAAAGTGACCTATGACATCAATCAAATCAACCTCATAAATGTAGAATGCTGGGTTAGAGAGAAAGAGCTTGTCAGGACAACCCCAACATGGAAAGTCTCTTAGCCACAGAGAGAATAGTCCCCTATTCCTCATCAGGGGACAGCCCTAGGAGCCTATGGGGTCACTGAAGGTTCATCACCTAAATGTGGTACCCATAGGTTTGAAAACCATAAATCAAAGGCTAATTTCCAGGGCTGGGATGGGTCTGAGGTCAGATACCTCCTCCAGGCCCTCCCCTCCAGCCATAGCCTGATCCAGGCCCTATTATCTCTCTCCTGGTCTTTTGGCTGGTCTCCCTGCCTCCAGCCTCTCCCACCTACTACAAAGAGCCATTTTAAATTGCAACCTGAGGGTCCAACCTGATCCTCCCAATAAAAGATATTCAGTAACCCACATTATGCCCCAGATGTTTTAAAGTATCACAGTTAGTAAGTCCAGTGCTAGAGACAGTCTGCCTGGGTTCAAACCTCAGGGCCCCTTCCCACTAGCTGTGGGTCCTTAAGAAAGTTGCCTATCGGTGACCAGGCTCAGTGGCTCAGTTTGTAGTCCCGGCACTTTAGGAGGCCAAAGTGAGTGGATTGCCTGAGCCCATGGGTTCGAGACCAGCCTGGGCAACTTGGCAAGCCCTCATCTCTACAATAAAATTAAAAATTAGGCTGGGCCCAGTGGCTCAACCCATAATCCCAGCACTTTGGGAGGCCAAGGCAAGTGGATTGCCTGAGCCTGAGAGTTCGAGACCAGCCCAGGCACCTTGGTGAGACCTCGTCTCTACAATAAAATTAAAATGAGATGGGTGTGGTAACACGTGCCTGTAGTTCCAGCTACTTGGAAGGCTGAGGCAGAAGGATCCCCAGAGCCCAGCAGGTTGACGCTGGGATAGCCGTGAGTGTGCCACTGCACTCCAGCCTGGGTGACAGAGTGAGAGATCAACTCAAAAAAAAAAGTTACTTATTCTCTCTGAGTTTCCTCTGTGGAAAAAAATAAAAATGATTTTTGTTTCTTTCTTTTTAGTCCCTTTTATTTATTTTCCTATCTTCCTGCACTGGCTGGAATCTTTAGTAAACTGCTGAATAGAAACAGAACTCTTGTCTTGCTTCTGGTTTTAAAGGAAATTATTTTAACATTTCTTCACTTCTAAAAGTTACCCTTATACTGAGTGATCTAGCACAGAAACAAAGAACTGAGTATCACATGTTCTCACTCATAAGCAGACCTTGAACAATGATCATATACCATAAGAAAAAGATTGGCAGTAGTGAGAAACTGCCCGGGGATGGGGTGGAGGGGGAAGTGGAATTAGCAGTAGTGGGAATCTGCTGAGGGTGATCAACAAGGGTACCTGCTAATGAACATTTGTATACCTAACCCTGAATTGTACCCTACATCTTTAAAATAAAAAAAATTAAATGATCAGGCTAAGAAAAAAAAGAAAAATGATAAGTAACTGTAGCATCTGCCCCACAGCCTGTGATGGAGCACTTAGCACATGCCTGGCAAGGAGTGTGTGATCAGTAAATGACACCTAGACCTATCTAAAACACCAGCCCATGGAGATATAATTGGATTGTTTGCCAAGCTCATTCTTTGTTGGGAACTGCCCCAGTACAGGATGGAATCGCAGCCATCACAAAGGACTCCAGATCTCCATCTGCAGGTTGCTCACTGGTTTTTAGTGATCTTCTATGTGCCAGCAACTGTAGTCCATGCTGTGGGAATCAGGATGTTTCATAAGCTCCTTGGGTGATTCTTTCAGGTAATGTTGGAAAGCACTGATTTTGTACATCTGTGAGGTAAGAGGTAAATAATTCCTCTCAGAGCTTATGTTCTAATCAAGTGGGCTGAGCCCTCCTCCTCAAGACTCTAGACCTTTGTCTGTTCTGGCTGGTTTCTTGAAAGGAGAGCCTTATATGGACCAATGGAACAGGATAGAGATTCCAGAAGCAAAGTCTTAATTTCTCCACCAACTCATCTTTGACAAAGCCTCCAGCAACAACTACTGGAGAGAGGAGAACCTATTCAGTAAATGGTGCTGGGAAAACGGGCTGATCACATGCAGAAGATTGAAACAGGATCCCTACCTATCACCATACACAAAAATTAACTCTAAATAGATCAAAGACCTACACATAAACCTCAAACTATAAAAATCTTAGAAAATGCAGGAGACACGCTATGAAAATTGGAACTGGCAACCAGTTCCTGATCAAAACCCCAAGTTCCCATACCATAAGACATAAAATAGACAAGTGGGACTTCATCAAACTGCCAAGCTTCTGCAAAGCAAAAGAAACCATCAAGAGAGTGGGGAAACGGCCCACAGAATGGGACAAAATATTTGACAAAGCCTAACACCCAGGATCCACAAGGAACTCAAATATACCAAAAGGAAAAAAAAAAAACAACAGCCCCATTAAAAAGTGGGCAAAAGACATGAATAGACACTTCTCAGAAGAAGATATACGGGCAGCCAATAGATACGTGCAAAAGTGCTCAGCCTCACTCATCATCAGAGAAATGCAAATCAAAACCACATTGAGATACCACCTAACCCCAGTAAGAATGGCCATCTTAAAACAAACAACAGATGCTGGCGAGGATGCAGAGAAAAAGGGACGTCTCTACACTGCTGGTGGGAATGCAAACTAGTGCCACCTCTTTGGAAGTCAGAGTGGCAATTTCTGAAAGAACTAGAAATTGACCTTCCATTTGACCGAGCAATCCCCCTATTGGGAATATACCAGGAGGAACTCAAGTCATTCTACCAAAAAGATACCTGCACAAGCATGTTTGTTGCAGCTCTATTCACAACAGCAAAAACATGGAACCAACCATGCTACCCACGGAAGCTGGACTGGATTTTTTTAAATGTGGTACATATACACAATGGAATATTTTGCAGCCATAAAGAAGGACAAACATATGGACTTCACAGC